TGCCAAATGTGCGGTCAGATATATGGTTGTAGGATCGGGCGCATCAGCCACACAAAGACCCACAAAACCCCGACCAGTGACACAGAATTTCCGCGTGGGCAATCATACTCGTTAGTGAGTGAAAATGATGACCTCCCTGCGCACCTCCACTCCTCATCTCTTTACAGCCCTCTCCTCCCCTGATCCACCCAGTCCCACCCACTGATTCTTCACTAAACCCTCCCCGCTCTGTATTTCCCTGTGGTGACCCAAAATTGTTGGCCAAGTGTACAACTAGCCATCCTTATTGCTAATGGCAGCCCCCGTAAATCTAGAACACCAAAATTGTTCCCACACCCTTTGCTCCCTTGATGTAAAACGAACCCCGCAAAATATTTCCAAGAGATTTCCTGTGCCTTAAGAAATCAGGCAGGGGAGGCCACTTGGTCCACTGAGCCGGTTCGAAATCCATCTTATATTTACTGCATGGCTACAGCTCTTGGGAGAGAATTTGAGCAAATGTTCCAGTCACGATGTGTCCTCTTGGGCAATATTTGTGAACACCGATAACTTATCAAGCACGTTTCATAATATTTGCTTTGATTTCATTTGAGTGTACCCTGCTGGCTTCACGGTCAGTTCATCCATTCCAAAACTTAATCATTAAAAGCAAACTTCTGTCTGAAATGTCCCGAGATTAGCGAAGGGGTTCAGACGGAAAGTCCTTTGTTTTGACAATATTGATGAATTTTCTCGGCAAACTTGTTGTTATCTTGCCTAATTCAGATTTCCTGAAAATTGGTTGCACAGTACTGGAACCGTGTACACTTGGAATGGGTTTTCAACAGAGGAGATCAAAGTCATGTTCTTAGCAGGACGAAACAACAATGTAGAGAACAGAACAATACTTGAGGGAATGATACACATGTTGCCACGCAAAGCAACTTTCCAAATTTGCTGAATGATAAAATTATTACACAGAAAACATCATTCACATACTTGGAAATTGATGTTAGCCTGAAAGCAGAAGTTGGCAGTGTGTTGGGATAATGCCAAAAGACCAAAAAATCCATAGACCAAGGCTAAATCTCTGGGGAGCTAGGTTCAAGTCCCACCACGGCAGCTGGTAGAATTTAAATTCAATTCATAAAATCTGGAGTTTAAAGCTACCTTTGGTCCCTAAGGTCTACCTACAGGACATGGACACCAACCCCTTCTCAAGCACAATTAGGGATGGGCAATAAATGCTGGACTCACTAGTGATTGCCCATGTTCTGTGGTTAAATCTGTAAAAATAAAACTAAAGAACAGTGGTCACTATTTTAGTTGGAGCCAACATCCCTGAATTGCCTTGAAATTAAAGGCTAATGTTCCTATTGCTGAAGTGACCAATCCAGTAGCAACATCAGAGTCGTAGAGTCATACAGCGTGGAAACAGACCTTTCGGTCCAACTCGTCTGTGCTGACCAAGTTTCCCGAACTGAACCTATTTGCCTGCATTTAGCCCATATCCCTGATGTCAAAACAAAATACGACTGGGGCTTTTTGAAAACACTTTCTTTCCTTGTTCGGTGTGAAATAGCAAGTTTGAATAAGAGTCAAGATACAGCTGAGTAGGTCAGGTGATGTCTTCTCTCGTTCTGATTGGCAGAGAAGGCATGGAGCACAACGATGGATACATCAGGCGACAGAAGTGGCTGGGTTTGGGCCCGAGGTGGGAATTTGAAAGTAGGACATCACCTTTCAGGATTGGGGGTGGAGGTGGGGGCTACATTTTTGTCCTGCCCTGGGTGTTTACCTTGATCAAGGACCGCAAATCCATTCAAGTGCAAATTCTTCAGGTCCTACACCCTCCAGGTCTTATTTTCAAAAGGTGAAGCCTGTTGTGAGAATTATCAGTCACAATCTGCTCACTCACCTCTCTTTTTAAGGCAGAGGGTCATTGCAAGGAGCAATTGTTGTAACATCAGACAGCTCATTAATTTGTTTTTGATTATGCTGTTAAAGGTGCACAGGGGTTGGCCATTTTTACCGGGATTACAAGGCTATGGCCATTTTTTGTGGTGCGGTGGTAATGTTCCAACCTCTGAGCTAGGAGGTCCAAGTTCAAGTCCCACCTGCTCCAGAGCTGTATCATGACATCTCTGATCTCACCTAGCACATGCCCTGTATGCCTCTGTCTGAGTCTTTTTGATCTGTACATCCCTGCTTACTATAATCTGCCTGTACCGCTGGTAAACAAATCTTTTCTGTGTAATTTGGTACACGTGACAATAAATCAATCAATCAAACAGGTTGATTAGAAAGCAGGAAGACTAAAGGTGTGCCTCACACTTCTGATCTTTGAATACCTGGTATATAGGGGTGGGGGCAGGTAACAGGATCTCCTCATGGATCTGCTCCTCGGCCTGGCCAAGGGGGTCATTAACGGTGGTGGGCTGTGGAGGGGGCCATAGTTGGTGATTGCCACCCTGGTGTCCAGGTGTCCTTGGAGAAGGAGCATGTGGTGTGCACTGATCCTCTCATGGCATTCAAGGTGAGGTGGACACCACAGGGGATACAATGATCCATCTTCCCCTCCAACCTCATTTTCAATTTAGCCCTCTCCCTCTTTCTTCCTTACCTTTTGGTGTTACCTTTGATGGTTTTTGCAGGTAGTTTAATCAATTGAGAACACGGGTGATTAGTCATGGTGGATAACAGAGGCTCTTATGGCTCAGTGGTAGTGTGTCAACCTCTGGGTGAGGAGGCCTGGCTTCAAGGTGTGTAGGATCATCTCTGAACATGTTGGTAAGAAAACTATCTAAAAGATCTTGAGTACCAGGAGGCTAATTAACTGACATATAACAGGACATAAGGGCTCTTATGGCACAGTGGTAGCATTCCTCTCTCGGTGCCAGGAGGCTTGAATTCAAGTCCCACCTTCTCTAGAGATGGCTTAGAAGGATGGGGGGTGATTGAAACTTACAGAATACTGAGAAGCCTGGATAGAGCGGACGTGGAGAAGATGTTTCCCTTAATAGGAGAGACTAGGAGCCAAGGGCACAGCCTCAGAGTGAAGGGACCAACCTTTAGAACTGAGATAATGGGGAATTTCTTCAACCAGAGGGTGTTTAATCTATGAAACTCATTGCTGCAGAAGGCTATGGAGACCAAGTCTTTCAGCATATTTAAGACAGAGATAGATAGGTTCTTGATTTGTAAGGGGATCAAGGGTGACAGGGAAAAGGCAGGAGAATAGGGTTGACAAATAAATTGGCCATGATTGAAAAGGGGAGCAGACTCGATGGGCTGAGTGGCCTAATTCTGCTTCTATGTCTTATGGGCAATGGAGGTAGATTGACCATTGACCTGGAGGTGGCTATTTCCAATGGCTCCAACGCAATATTACACAGGAGGCAGGCTGCCAGCTCCCAGCCCTGGGGAAGCTTTGTACATGCCATAATGGTGAAGGGAGCTGCTCTGACACCATGCTGCAGTCATCCCAACCACAGGGGAAGGCGATGGCCTAGTGGTATTATTGCTGGACTGTTAACCCAGAGACCCAGATAATATTCTGGGGACCTGGGTTTGAAACCTGCCACGGCAAATGGTGGAACTTTAATTCAATAAATTTCTGGAATTAAGAGTCTAATGATGTCCGTTGTTGATTGTTGGAAAAACCCATCTGGTTCACTAATGCCCTTCAGGGAAGGAAATTGCCATCCTTACCTGGTCTGGCCTACATGTGATTCCAGACGCACAGCAATGTGAATGACTCTTAACTGCCCTCTGGGCAACTGGGGATGGACAATAAATGCTGCCTGGCCAGCGACGCCCTCATCCCAGGAATGAATAAATGCTGCATGCACACCATTACCCCAGGCTCTGGTAGAATCCCTACTGCTGTACCTGTCACTGTTGGTGGCTTGGCATAGTTCATTGTGACTGTCGGTGTTGTTGTTCAGCTTATCTGTCACGTGTACATGTGACAATGCTCAGTGTGTCCATCTTCATCCAAGTGGACTGCTCATGCTGTACTACTCTTTACAATTCTCACTTACTTGTGTTGTGAAAGTCCACATTGTACATCAATAATCATCTAATGGTCTTATCTTTTGTTATTTTTAATAATAGATGTTTATGCTACATCGTACAGCTGCAGCCTGTAGTAGTCTGGGTGAAGTCATTGAAGATAGACATATAGGAATAGGGAGCTGGAATAGGCCATTTGGCCCATCAAGCCTGCTCCACCATTCAATATGGTCACGGCTGATCCTTTGTCAATGCCACACTCCCACTCTTTCCTGATGTCTCCAGTATCTAGAAATTTAACTGTTTCTTTCTGGAATATATTCAGTCACTCAGCCTCCATAGTCTTCTGTGGTTAAGAAGTCCATATGATCACCACCCTTTGAGTTAAAATTTCTCTGCATGCAAGCCCAAAATGACATAGCCCATAGCCTGAGACTGTGATCCCTTATTCTGAGAACTCTCCCACCTCCTCTCTCAGCCAGGGGAACTATCATCCCACATTCAGTCTGCCCAGCCCTATCTGAACAGTATACATTTCAATGCGGTCTCCTCTCGTTCCTCAAAATTCCAGTTAAGGCAGGTCTGGTGGACCCAATCAGGACCCTACTTTTACAGAGCATGGAATTTACAACATAGGCATTACAGTGAGGGTTAGGAGATGGTTATGACATTCTGTGGAATAAGTTCAAACTCATTTGTAAACTCAAGGGCTAGTCAGCAGCAAGGCAGGACTCACTACTGCCTCTGGAGAAAGCTGTCTACAATGGTTTTGCATTGAGTGTGATCCTACTTTCACGTTGCTGTTATCTATAGGAGATTCATAGTGTTGACCATTGGTGATGTTGTCAAGTGGGCCGAGCAGCCAATCAGACCAAAGAATTTTCACAGACTGCAAACCAGGAAATAAAACATTCAGATTATTGTTCATTTTTTAATTGTCCGCCAGAGAACGAAATAAGAATTGGCATTTGCATATATGGGGCCAAGGTAGAAACTGAACAAATGTGTAAAACAAATTATGTTTTATTACTTTAAAAATCATGGTACACTTATCACAGAATGATGGGAATGAGAACCCATGCTTATAAAATTAATATTTCAGGGCTAGAGAGCTGGGTAATGAGGAATTAGAACTTTGTACATTGTAAAAACTCAGTTGCACCTTGTCTAGCAAGGCATATTAATTAAAATGTTGTTTCTGGAAGGTGAGAATGGTGTGTAAAGGACACAAGGTTATGTCATTTCAGTGATTCTGTGAAGACAGCAGTGGCTGGCTCCATGGAGGTACAAAATATCACTGATAGCAACTCTCTGATTGAACTGCACATGACTGACCACCAGAGATTGTGGATCCTTCTACACAATGTTAACAATGATGACTGCTAAGATTTTCACCATCCTTACAACCATCAATTTAGATCCAAGGTAGATAAGCTATTTCTGAGGGTTATTGATGCAACTGAGATTTTTGTGGAGTTGGTACAGCCTGAATTTGGTTCTGCGGGTTCCATTAAAGCGTGATCATTATTTCAGCAATGACGGGTTATTTGTGGGGAGCACTAGCATGTCCTGGCGTGGACGGACTTGAATGCAGAGTTTCTGGCGCAGAGGTAGGGGCACTACCACTGTGTTCTAAGAGGTTCCTGCTGTTTTGATTAGAAGATACTTGTCTAATAACCATTCTGAGCCATCTGAGGTATCTTGACACCTTTGTGTAGATGCCATATTTTCCCTTCTGGGCACATCCTTCTCCCCAGCTGACAATGCCAGTCAAGAACCAGGTGCTCTTGTGTTCTGTGACATGCGGCCCACCACTGTCCCCTTGGCAGGAGTCTTTACTCTCGTCTTTGTAGCCAGCGCAGAACATGTTCTGAGACACCGGGTACTTGCTAGACTCAATGCACTTTGTCCGATCGACGTATGGCACTGTGAGGCGCTGGAGCTTATCAGCTGGCATCCCATGGTCAATGACACGGCCCCAACCACTGACTAAGGCATTTGATGTTTTCATCAGCACCGTGTCTGCAAATTCTCTTTGGGGCAGGCAGATTGGGACCACATTCTGGTTGAACTGCATGGGTTTCTTCAATAGCAGGACCGCAATATCGTTGTCGTAATTTTTGCGCTGGAACCTCTGGTGGGCAATGACTGCCTCGACCTCAAGCCGCTGTTCTGTGTGCTCGTCTTCCTTGACATCAAATTCACCTGGGGTGGGGGTGAAGGGGGCGAGGGGGGTGAAGGGGGCGAGGGGGGTGGGGTAACAAAAGATATGTGTCAACTGGTCAGTGACTCAGCCTTTTACAAATGTGTGGTGTTATTCATTGGACGATCAAATGTCCACCAAGTTGCTCACAAGCAATGAAATGAAAGAGTTTCCATTCTGCAAGCCCATTACATCCATTCTACAATTCAAACGACAATTGGATTTCCATAAGAATATAGGTTATAGGAGCAAGACGTAGGCATTCAACCCATCAAGCCTACTCTGCCATTCAATGAGATTATGGCTAGTTCATAGTTCATAGAATCCTTACAGTGTGGATACAGGTCCTTCAGCCCAACAAGTCCACACAGACCCTCAGAGCATCCCACCCAGACCCATCTCCCTAATCTACATAACCCTGAACACTACGAGCAATTTAGCATGGCCAATCCACCTAACCTGCACATCTTTAAACTGTGGGAGGAAACCAGAGCACCCGGAGGAAATCCACGCAGACACTGGGAGAATGTGCAAACTCCACACAGACAGTCACCCGAGACTGGAATCAAACCTGGGTCCCTGGCACTGTGAGGCAGCAGTGCTAACCGCTGAGCAACAGTGCTGCCCTGAGAATCTGAGAATCTGCTAATCTGAGAATCCTAAATTCCACATTACTCCTTGTAACCTTGATTCCCTTACTGATTAAAAATCTGTCTATCTCAGCCTTGAAAAGACATAATGACCCAGCCTTGACAACCCTCTACAGGAAAGAATTCCACAGATTCACTGCCCTTTGAGAGAAGAAATTCCTCCTCATCTCTGCCTTTACTGTGTGACCCCTTATTCTGAGATGATGCCCTCTGGTCCTAGATTCTCCCACAAGGGGAAACAATCTCTCCGCATCTACCCTGTCAAGTTCCCGAAGAAACTTGTATGTTTCAATAAGGTTGTCTCACATTCTTGTAAGCTCCAATGAGTATAGACCCAAACTACTCAACCTCTCATGACAGAGGTCCCTCCATGCTTGGTATCAGTCCAATGAAGCATCTCTGGACTCCCTCCAATGCCAGTGTATGTTTCCTTTGATAATCTATAGATTCTGTTAATGTAATGATGTGTCCTTGTGTGCTTCACAAAGGCAAAATTACATGTCCTCTGAAGAGGTCATCAGAGCAGATGACCAAAAAAATTGGGCCAGAAATGATATGTTTTATAGAGAGGAGGGAGGGGTGGAGAGGTCCAGTGAGGAGGATCCAGAGCTCAGAACTGGGATGGTCAACAGCAGTGTTGCTAAAAGCTGTGGTGAAGAATGCAGCTCAGAAAATCAGAAATAGAAGACAACTTCAATATCAGAGGCTTGTAGAATTGAAGGGTGTTAATGAGATTGCAGGAGGTTGGAGTGAAGCCATGGACAGATTTCAACCAGTTGAATCCATAAAATGAGCAGTTATTCCAGTCTCAGGTTAATGGTTCACACAATCTGTCATTCTGTCATCTCCAGGTAAAAGTGGGTCAGTTTTTGAAACAATTTTACCAAAAGCTTTACTTTCAAAGATGTATATCTGATAAACAAATCTATGTAATGAACAACTGATTACTGACATGCATGCACAGCTGTTGATTATAGTTTATTCTGAACTTCTTCGGTCAGCAGTTGATTACATTTTATTACTGACCTGTATGGATAACTATTTATTACATCTTACTACTGACCAGTGTGGTCAGCAATTATTTTACAGTTTATTACTAGGCACGGGTAACAGTTTATTACAATTTATTACTGACCTGTTGGGTAGCAGTTTACTACAGTTTATTACTGGCTTGTGTAGGCAGTAGTTTATTACAGCTTAATACTGACCTGTGTGGATAGCAGTTTAGTACTGACCATTATGCTCAGCAGTTTATTACTGACTTGAGTGGGCAGCAGTTTAGTACTGAAATGTGTGGCCAGTTTATTGCAGTTTATTACTGACCCACGTGGGCAGTAGTTTATTACTAACCTGTGTGGTCAGTCATTTGTTGCAATTTATCACTGACCAGTGTGGGCAGCTGCTTATTACATTGTATTACAGATCTGAGTGGTTAAGCAATTTATTACAGTTTATTGTTGACCTGTGTGGGCGTACTACTGAATGGTTGGCAGTTTAGTACTCTACTGTGTGCACTGCAGTTTTTTACAATATATTATTGACTTGTGTGTTTTGCAGCTTATTACTGACCTGCGTGGCCAACAGCTTATTACAGTTTATTTCTTAAACCAAAGGGTGGTTAATCTGTGGAACATATTGGTGCTGTGGAGGCCAAGTAATTGAGTGTAATTAAGACAAAGATAGATAGGTTCTTGATTAGTAAGGGGGTCAAGAGTTACTGGGAGAAGGCAGGAGAATGGGGTTGAGAAACATATTGGCTACGATTGAATAGTAGAGCAAACTTGATGGGCCAAATGACTTAATTCTACTCCTATATCTTATGGCCTTATGGATATCAGCAAAGGTTTCTAGAATATGTGTTAAGCCCAGATTGTACAAAATGATGCTGCGTTGTGAATGAACAGAATCCAGTTCAGATCAGTGTACAACACACCTGATAATGAATGAAGAGAGTGAAGAACAGCACACGATGACGATGATGAATGTATGATGATGTTGAATGACAGAAAGTGACAGCCAAGTTATGAAACAAGTGCAACAGAGAACAATACATAAAAGAAAAATACTGCAGCTAGCAACGTCTGTGCAAAGAGTTAACGTATTGAGTCAGGGTGACTTCTTCAGAACTGAGAATAATGTATATGTGTCCAGACAGGCAGACGATTACCAGATCAGAATGAACTGTCAAACTTCCAAAGTACAAAATTGAAATTTGAAATGTTAATTCTGTAAACTCTGTTTTACCTGTTCTTAGAATAATCAAATTCAGACACAGCCATATTTGTGATCATATTTTACCTTCGTTATGTCTCACAATCAGTATATCAATCTATCTTTAAGAGACATGTTCATAATATCACCACTGTACTGTTGCATGTGACTTGAGAGTAACAAGATTACTGGTATCTTTTGCTGATGAATAAATGTTGCTCTGTACAACTAAATAGCCTAACACATATGTATATAACAGCCAGCTGCAATAAGAATCTCTTGAATCTTTCAATACCGTATTAGTCATGTCCAGTTTCTTACGTTACATACAGTCATAATATCATTGAGCACAGAAAAAAACCCTTCAGCCCATCAAGTCCACGCTAGTGAAAAACAACCACCTAACTATTCTAATCCTATCTTCCAGCACTTGGACCGTAGGGTAACCATTTATCCTGTCTATTCTCTCTATGCCCCTCATAACTTTATACATCTCAATTATGCCCCCTCTCAATCTCCTATGCTCTAAGGAAAACAACCCCAGTCTATCCAGTCTCTTTTCATAACCAAAACTCTCGAGCCCAAAGGCAATATTCTGATAAATCTCCTCTGTGCCTTCTCCAATGCTGTCACATCCCTCCTATAATGTGGATTCCAGAATTGCACATAATATTCTAACTGTCACCTAACCAGCATGTTATACAGTTCCAGCTTAACTTCCCTGTACTTCAACTCTTCAAATCTGTGCCTCATTTTATAAAGGCATAAATGATAATAATAAATAATAATATGCTTTCTTAACCATTTTATCCATTTAATATCTTAGGGGACCAGTGGTTGTGCATACCACAATTCCTCTGATCCTCGGTGCTTCCTAGGGTCCTACAGTTCATCATTATTCCCTTTCCAGGCTTACGCTGCCCAAGTGTATCACCTCATATTTAAATAGATCGAATTCCATATGCCACTGATCAGCCCATCTGTCCAATGTCTATATCTTCTTGTAATCTAAGGCTATTCTCCTCGCTATTTACTACCCAACTGATTTTATATCATCTACAAACTTACTGATCGCATTCTTACATTCAAGTCTAAATCAGTTATATAAGTGACAAACACCAACAAGAGCCCCAACACTGACCCCTGTGGGACCCCACTGGACACAGACTTCCAGTCGGAAAAACACCCCTCAGCCATCACCCTCTGATTCCTGTCTCTCAGCCAATTGCAGATCCAATTTGCCAAATTTCCTTGAATTCCTTACCTTTGCTATCACTCTCCCGTACAGGACTTATCAAGAGCCTTGCTGAAGTTTGAGTAGACCACATCATAAGCATTGCCTTCAGCTACACATCTGGCCACTTCTACGAAAAATTCAATCAAGTTGGTCAGACATGACCTCCCCTTAACAAAACCATACTGATGGTTATTGATCAATCCCTGCCTCTCCAAATGCAGATTAATTCTGTCCCTTAGAACTGCTCCCAATAGTTTCCCCACCACCAAAGTTAGACTGACTGCCCTGTAGTTTCCAGGTTTATCCCTTGCTCCAGTCTTGAATAGTGTAATATGGGCATTGCTGGAGGCAAAACCCACATCAATTCTCAGAGAGAAGTATGGATAGTATAAATATTTTGTAAACCTGGATTGGAGAATTACTTCACCTGGTTTCTTGGTAAAATTGATCTTATTTAAATTGGAAATCAAAGAGGCCGGTTAGGAAAGGATAGTTACCGACAACAGCGGTGATCGTCGCTGTTTCATTCAGGCAATGAGCTGCAGTCACTACTAATGTCTCAGTTAGAATTGTGCCCCCACAAAATCCTTTGCCAGATTCATCGATTAGAAGAACCTGTTGGACAATTCAACATAGCATCAGGATAATCCTTAATTGGTCACATCAAAATTTAAAAAATCATTAAACTGAACACCAGGCAGCGTAAGAAATATTAAGACCCTGAAGCTTAATCAGGGAGTTCCACAAACAGTGTATTCTGCAATTGGAACCACTGGCATTGCTCATGGATAGAGAGCTAATTGAATTCAAAAGGATCGCTCAGAGAAAAAGAAAACACGAGCCAGCCAATCCTCCGTGGCAGTGCTCAATGTCAGAAATTGGTCTCCCTCAGATGAAAACACTAATGGATAAAATCCATCTGAATCTGGCAGCATTGCTTGTGGACAGTAAAACTAGATAATTCCTAATGTTGGTATTCAATAGCAAACTATTGGGAGGGAAGGCTGTGATGGGACTGGCGTATTAGATACAGACAGGATAAGTAACATTTGAACCAAATGTGAACCAGGCAATGACCACCATGTTATCTGTGCTCTGTCCTCGGTAGATATTTAAGCAAAGTAATTATTTAATATTTCTGCTGCCTCTCTGTTGTTTGTTTTTTTAAAAGTTTGGTTGCAGGCTGTGGGCGTCATCGGATGGGCCGACATTTATTGCCCATCCCTAGGTGCCCCTTGAGATGGTCATAATGAACTGCCTTCTTGAACTGCCGCAGTCCACTGGCTACAGGTCGACCCAGAATGCCTTTAGGGAGGGAATTCCAGGATTTTGACCCAGCGACAGTGAAGGAACGGCGATATATTTCCAAGTCAGGATGGTGAGCGGCTTGTAGGGGAACTTGCAGGTGGTGGTATATCTGCTGCCTTTGTCCTTCTTGATGGAAGTGGTCGTGGCTTTGGAAAGTGCTGTCTGAGGATCTTTATACCTTAAATATTACACCTTTGTTCAGAAAAGGTTGTCAAGATAAATCCAGCAACTACAGCCATTTAGGCCAACTTTCAGCATGGAAAGCCTATTAAAATAATAATAATACCGTGGGACAAAATTAATAATTAAATGGACAACTGCGGGTTAATTATGGAAAATCAACTTGCATGTGCAGAGGGAAAATCATTTTGAACTAACTTGCTGGAGCTTTTTGATAGGGTAACAGAGAAGTTTGATGAAAGCAATGCTGTTGATGTGGTGCACATGGACATTAGACTTTTGAACAAAGTTGTAGCTCATTTAATAAAAGGGACAATAACGAATGGAGACAAAATTAGCTGAGTGTTAGGAAACGCAGTGTAATGGTGACTGTTTTTCAGTGTGATTGAAGTTTGTAGAGCTTTTCCCTTGAGATCCATGTTGGCAGCTTTGCTTTTAATATATATCAAATGACCCAGAATGTGGTGCGCAGGGCATCAATTCAAAATTTGAGTAAGATACAATACTTCGAAGTATTGTGAACTGTGAGGAGCATAGTGTAAATCTTCAAGAGGATATTGAAAGGCTGATTGAACGGGCTGACAAGTGGAAAGTACAATTTAATGCAGAGAAGTGGTAAGAAGAACATGGAAGGTCAATGTGAAAGAAAGGCACAATTGTAAAGAGAGTGCAAGAGCAAAGGGATCTGGGAGTACATGTGCACAGGTCATTGAAGGTGACAGGATAGGTTGAGGGAACAGTTGATAAAGCATGTAGTGTTCAAGGCTTTGTTAATAGCAGCAAGACCAAGGTAGTTCTGTTGAACTTGTATTAGACACTAAGTCAGTTGGAGTACTATGTACAGTTCTGAGCACAGCACTTCATTAAAGATGTGAAGACGTTAGAGAGGGAACACAGGAGAGGTTTATGAGAATGGCTCCAAGGATGAGGAATTTTAGTTAGTAAGATAGATTGGAGAAGTTGGGGCTGTTTTTCTTGGGAAAGAGGAGGTTGCAAGGAGATTTGATCGAGGTGTTTTAAATCATGAGGGGTCTCAAATGGGAGTTGAGCTTTCATTTAAAAAGGAAAAATGTACAGGGCTACAGGGACAAGTTAGGAGAATGGCAGTAAAGGGAGATGCTCTTTCAGAGAGAGGTCAAAATATGTTCTGTCAAATGACCTTTTGAGTTGTGATAACTTTGTGATTATGTCCAGGGAATTACAAACCAGACAGTTTAACATCAGAGGTCAGAAAATAATGGGATTACTCAAGGATCAAATTGAAGAACATCATGAAACAAGAAAAATAATCATGAGGTGTTGAATAGTTAGCTTGAATTTCAAAAATAGGAAATGTTGCTTGACCAACCTTGAAACAAACTAGGTGGACAGAATTGAAAAGTGGGGAAGTTATGCTAAACCTGTACTGAGTCCTGGTTCGACCACATTTAAACACTGTGTGCATGTTCTCGTCCCCATCTTATCAGAAGGATACAGAGGCACTGTCCAGGGTGCAAAGAGGATTTAAAAGCACAATCATAGAAATGTGTGGGTTTACGAATTAAGATTGTATGAACAAACAGGGTCTTTTCGCTTGAAAAGAGAAAGCTTACGAATGACCTAATTAAGGTCTTTAAAATTCTGAAAGGCTTGATAGGATTAATAAGGAGGGAGTGTTTCCTCTAACTAACTCTAACTCTTACATCGGCAAAAGATAGTCACCAAGAAATCCAATCAGGAATTCCAAGATAGTAGGAACTGCAGATGCTGGAGAATCTGAGATAACAAGGTGTAGAGCTGGATGAACACAGCAGACCAAGCAGCATCAGAGGAGCAGGAAGGCTGACGTTTCGGGCCTAGACCCTTCTTCAGAAATGGGGGAGGGAAAGGGGGTTCTGAAATAAATAGGGAGGGGGGGGAGGCGGATAGAAGATGGATAGAGGAGAAGATGGGTGGAGAGGAGACAGACAGGTCAGAGAGGCGGGGTTGGAGCCAGTAAAGGTGAGTGTAGGTGAGGAGTTAGGGAGGGGATAGGTCAGTCCAGGGAGGATGGACAGGTCAAGGGGGCGGAATGAGGCTAGTAGGTAGGAGATGGGGGTGGAGCTTGAGGTGGGACGAGGGGATAGGTGCGAGGAAGGACAGGTTAGGGAGACGGGGTCAAGCTGGTCTGGTTTTGGGATGCGGTTGGGGGACAGGAGATTTTGAAGCTTGTGAAATCCACATTGGTATCAATCTTCCATCTTCTATCCGCCTCCCCCTGTCTCCCTATTTATTTCAGAACCCCCTTCCCCTCCCCCATTTCTGAAGAAGGATCTAGGCCCGAAATGTCAGCTTTCCTGCTCCTCTGATGCTGCTTGGCCTGCTGTGTTCATCCAGCTCTACACCTTGTTATCTCAGGAATTCCAAGACATTTTTTTCACTCAGGGACTGGTGAGATTTCACTCTGACAGGCAGTGATTGGTGTTGATGCATTGAAGAGGCATCTGGATAGCTGTATGAGGATGAAGGGAATTACAATGACCAATTTAGATGTGGAAAGATAGGGGCAGGCCCCAATGGAGCACAAACACTGGGAAGGGTTGGTTGAGCTGAATAGTCTGATTCTATACCACATATTCCATGTAAATCTTAATGTGATTTTGTCTAATCCTAGCTCACCAATGGAATTGAAGGCGATACATGTGGCATTATTTGTGGGCAGGGGTTAGCTTAGCTCAGTTGGTTGTACAGCTGGTTTGCGATGCCGAGTGATGCCAATGGTGGTGGATTCAATTCCAGCTGACGTTACTATGAAGGTCCCACTTTCTCAACCCTCAGGTTAACCCACCACCAGAGAGTGGGGCTATGACTACTTTACCTTATCTGCTTGTGGACAAAGCTAGTTGAATGCCATTGATCATGGACATGTCATTGTTGGCACCTTCCATCTGTGAGAGTGTGCCATCGAGGTCATCTCTGTTACACTTTGTTTGCACATTGCTTATGAACCTCATTTGTCACAGAGAGGAAGACAGCGGACTCAGAAGGTTTTCACTCTGAAAGCTCGGCTTTTCATTTCTGCTCATCTCTCTGAGTGCCTCTCATGGTCGCAGCCATCAGCAACTGTCTCCCAGTTGTCAGTGTCCCTGGCCCCCATCTTCCTGTTTCACTCCCAGGCATTCTAATCACAGGAGCATGGACAGCAAGGACGTTGTAATCCAGTGACTGGCAGTGTAAAGGAATCCAGGCAGAGAATAGGGATTTATGAAAGTTTGATCTATTCTGCAATGTACTTGCTTATGACCATTGAAAGCACACCCTTAATATGGACACTCCACTCACACCAATTGTATGATCTTTTGATCTCTCTGCCCTTGTTCTCTCTGCCTATGAACTGTGTGCCTATGTGCTCTCCCCTCTCACTGCACCTGATGAATGGATGAGAAGCAGTATCATTTTAGATGGGGACCTGGTGTGGAAATGATTGAAGGAGCATGTTTCTATCCTGCTGAATTGAATGAATGTACAGTTCAGTACCAAGGGTCAACTAACAGCGGAATGAGAAACGTGCTTGAGCACCAATATCTATGAACCTCAAAGGTTGAAAATAATGGATTACCTGCCATGGGCATTCTCCCAAGGGACAATCCTGTCCGCCCACAATCCTCACAATTTCGTCAGCGGGATTATGGTTGCTTGTTGGCTCATTAAATCTGTTACTGGTGTGGTTTGATGCAGTGGTCTCTGTTGGTGTGGTGCTGTTAGCTAACACAGCATCACTGTCGAAAACTGATCTTCGGGCTCTGTTCTTTGTGATGGTCCCACAAGGAAAAGAAACTGTTAAAAAGAAATAAACATTGTGCGTACATGTGTGTAAAAGTTATTTCAACCACTAGCAATTTGTGAATGGCTTTTTTTTGCAATGGAGGCCTGTAGCTCAGAGACAATCTCTATCCTTCTGCTGGGCAATTAGATCACTTATATTCCCAAACTCATGATCAATGATATACTGTCAGTACATCAATAATCACCGAATGGTGATTGTATCGTTGGATAGTAGACATTGTATTGTTCTATAGTTCAGTCAAAGAAGCAGTCCATTTGGCTCATCCAGGCTGGAAAATGCTATTCAGTCCCATGCCCCTGCTCCTTTCCCACAGTCCTGCATTACTTGCTACATTGGTTCAATCCCCTTGTGAAACTTGGTGTTGAATTTGATTGCATTACTGTTTTCAGACTTAGCATTCCATCACCTCTACTACTTTTGTCATTCATTTGCGGGGCATGGCCATTGTTGGTGACGCCAATATTTACTGCCCATCACTAATTGCCCTTGAGCTTGCTGAATAGAGAAAACATTCTCAATACCTCCTGAGTTTTCTCTCTTAAACCTATCTCTTCTGGTTGCTAATTCCCCTTCCAATATAACCACTTTCTCTCGATCGACTCTACGGGATTTTGAACACCTCTATTCAATCTTCCCTCCTCTGTTCTACAATCCCACATTTTCTGTTCTCTTCACAAACTGAATTTCGCTTTTGAGTCTGGGCAATAGTTGACATACTTGTGAGTTCACATACCAGGTCTCTAAAGATGACAGGTTAAGGTCAGAAAGCTGTCAAGAAAGCATTCACAATCCTTGCCATAATAAATAAAGGCATATGCTGGATTTCCCCAAGCTGGCGAAAGCTTTGCTGGAAGTTTGGGGACAGTGATGGTGGTGGAAAATTGGACCGAGGTGTCTCAGGTTGGTTTCCCAACATTTGCTGGCTTCAGAGTATTTTTCTGGCAGTGGGCTTTCAGCAACAGGACCGATCTTGGGAGGGATAAATCAGTTCCTGAGTTGTGGTCCTTAGTGTCAAACAGCATGTAGCTAATTGCATTGAGCATGTAGCATTGAGTATAGGAGTTGGATCGTCTTCTTGCAGCTGTAATAGACATTTGGAGTGCTGTGTGCAGTTCTAGTCGCCCTATTATAGAAGGGATGTTATTAAGCTAGAAAGAGTGCAGAAAAGATTTACTAGGATGCTACCTGGACTGGAAGGTTTGAGTTATAAGGAGAGGCTGGACAGGCTGGGTCTTTTTTTCCTGGAGCATAGGACGCTGAGGGGTGACCTTATAGAGGTTAATAAAATCATGAGGGGCATAGGTAAGGTGGATAACCAATAGCTTTTCCCCACTGTAGGGGAGACTAAAAGTAGAGGGCATAGGTTTAGGGTGAGAGGGGAGAGACACAAAAGGGTCCAGAGGGGCAGTTTTTCACACAGAGGCTGGTGAGTGTCTGGAACGGGATGCCAGAGGTAGTGGTGGAGGTGAGTACAATTTTGTCATTTAAGAAACATTTGGACAGAAACATAAATGGGATAGGTATGGAAGGATATGGACCAAATGCACACAAATGGGACTTAATTGTGAAAACTGGGCAGCATGGACAAGTTGAGCCGAAGGGCCTGTTTCCGTGCTGTAAACCTCAATGACTCAAAATTAATGCAATTTTAAATCGAGCCTGATGTCTCAGATGTAACAATTACATTTTCGATGCAGTGTAGTTAAGACATATGGAATAAACCTGTTCACTTTTCAAGTAGACTGAGCCTGTCTTCTGCCTATGTAAACATCATTCCCTACATGGTATCAAATATCTAGGCTAATACCAGTAAGGAGGGTGGATAGTGGTCACTGTATTCAAGATACCCAACATGAAAATATTATTGTGCACAGTTATGCAATCTTACAGAAGGCCCCACACAGCAGGCTGATATTGGAGGCAGCTTCACAGTGGCAGGTTGGGAATGCCATGACATGGTTTTGCACATCTGTGTAGGAAGTGCCAGGAAGGTTAACAATGGTACACCAAATGCCAGATGCATTCACCTGGAGATACCTTGACCTGCAGACTGATGCCTTTTTCACCATTAGGTGCTGGCTTCTGTCTTATGTCTGTGCCCACCCTCCACCTAATAATCTTAAACCGCTGACCGACAATGCCCTTAGGGAGGGAATTCAAGAATTTCGACCCAGCAACACTGAAGGAACGGTGATATATTTCCAAGTCAGGATGGAGAGTGGCTCGGAGAGGAACTTGTAAGGGGGTGGTGTTCCCAAGCATCTGCTGCCCTTTTCCTTCTAGATGGAAGTGGTCATGGGTTTGGAAGGTGCTGTTGGAGGATATTAAAAGTATGTAGGGACATGCAGATAAATCTGGGAAATAGCATTCGGATAGAAGATAGTTACGATTTCATTGACTTGCGGAGCATGCTCAACAGATCGAATGATTTACTTTTGCTCCTAATTGCTATGATCCCATGGTGCTGTGGGTGTCCTCTGAAATGAGCAAATACTCCCAATGCCTGGAAATGCTTAAAGTGCAGAAAACTACAGTGTAAGATTAGAAAAGGAAGGAAGCATTGTGTGATCAGGATATCAAAATCATTCTTTAGGCCTGAGCTCCAGCATAACATTCGATGTAAGACATTGTAGGAAGAATATCAAGGCTTTGCAGAGGGTGCAGTAGAGAATGACCCAGATGAGAACGAGGATTATTCTCCCTTGAGCAGAGACCTTTAAATGGAGTTTTAATGCACATCTATTAGTTTTGCCAGTTTGCAGTCAAGTAGTGGTTTAATATGGATTGAACATAAAAGAATGGGTGGGGAGGAATAGATCATGTAGCACTCATGACCCCACCATGGCCCTAGATTCCCAGGCTTCACTAGTCTCAGGAGAAGAATTCCAAACACAAAGGACCCTCCGAGGGAAGAAAATCTGCCTCATCTCTACTTTATATGGGAGATCCCTCAGTTTGAAACTGTGCCTACTAGTTCTCAATTCCATCATGAGTGGGAGTACCCTCTCCATTGACCCTATCAAATCCCCATTAAATCCGAAGAGCAACCATATCAGACTGGAAATGTTTACTCTGTTTCTCTCTCCCCAGATGGTGTCAGATCTGCTAAGTTTCTCCAGCATTCTATGCCTTAGTTGCCCTCCATTTCAATGAGGAACACGCACTTGTTCAGTTTAATTTACACACTTTAATCGTGTCACCATCTCATTTGGTTCTGATGAGAGCTTAATTATCTCTTCCCTCAGTCATGTTCAAGGGGTGGTGTAAGCAGGTGACATTTATAGAATCACGGACATACCTACTGTGAGGAAAGAGGCCATTTGGCCCATCGAATGTGCACCGATCATCCGAAGAGCATCTCATCCAGACCCAGCCCTTACCCTATCCCTGTAACCCTGTATTTCCCATGGCTAACCCCCCTAGCCTGCACATCCCTGGACACTATGGGAAATTTAGCATGGCCAATCCACCCTAACCTGCACACCTTTGGACTGTGGGAGGAAACCGGAGCACCCGGAGGAAACCCACCAGACACGGAGACAGTGTGCAAACTCCACACAGACAGTCACCTGAGGGTGGAATTGAACCCGGGTCCCTGAAGGCAGCAGTGTTAACCACAGAGCCTGAGGAGAGCACCTGTCAAACAATGGTACATTTTTACCTTGTGGAATACAGGATTTCTCATCGGAATGAAGCGCATAACCTTCGACACAGGAGCACTTGACACGGTTCTTCTGCACCCTGCAGTAATGCTGGCAGCCTCCATTGTCCAGATTGCAGAGCTGGGGGATGTCTGAAAGGAAACAAACAGGAGTCACAAAGCACACATAGCAACGCTGATTTTAACGCTCCTCGGGGGCGGGGGGAAGGGTGAGGGCGCTCATGAATGCAATAAAGATCAGGCCCTTCAGGCTCTGTGATCCTCAGAGCTCTCAACTGACAGCTCACCAGATCACTTCAATCCATCCATTCCCTCGCTCCTCATGGGGACAGGATATAATACCACTGAGTTAGAGAGCCAGCGAACCAGGCTAATACACCAAAAAAAACACAGAAATTGCTGGAGAATCTCAGCAGATCTGGCAGCATCTGTGGAGAGAGAAACAAGAGCTAAAGGCTCAGTGGCCATTCTTCTGAACATTCTGAAGAAGAGTCAATGGACTCGACACATTAACCCCTTTTCTCTCTCTCCACAGATGTTGCCGAAGCTAATGAGCTTGTCCAGCGATTTCTGCTTTTATTCACTTCAGATCTCCACTACCCGAAGTTCTTTATTTTGTTTCAATGCTCTGGGAATGTGGGTTTAAATCCTACCACATCAGGCTTTAAATTCAATTCATAAATCAGGCATTGAAAGCTAGTGTCAGTCATGGTGACACTGGCCATGACCATCATAAAAAAAACCCCATCGAGTCCACATTAAGAGGGCTAAAAGGGGTCATGAAATATCTTTAGCAAACAGGGTTAAGGAAAATCCCAAAGCCTTTTATTCGTACATAAGGAGCAAGAGGGTAAGTAGAGAAACGGTTGGCCCACTCAAGGACAAACGAGGGAAGTTATGCGAGGAGTCAGAGAAAATGAGTGAGATTCTTAATGAGTACTTTGCGTCGGTATTCACCAAGGAGAGGGACATGACGGATGTTGAGGTTAGGGATAATGTTTGATAACTGTAGGTCAAGTTGGCATAAGGAGGGGGGGAAGTGTTGGATATTCTAAAAGGCATTATGGTGGACAAGTCCCCAGTTCTGGATGGGATCTATCCCAGGTTACTGAGGGAAGCGAGAGAGGAAATAGCTGGACCTTAACAGATATCTTTGCAGCATCCTTGAGCATGGGTGAGGTCCCGGAGACTGGAGAATTGCTAATGTTGTCCCCTTGTTTAAGAAGGGTAGCAAGGATAATCCAGGTAATTATAGACCGGTGAGCCTGACGTCAGTGGTGGGGAAGCTGCTGGAGAAGATACTGAGGGATAGGATCTATTTACATTTAGAAGAAAATGGGCTTATTAGTGATAGGCAGCATGGTTTTGTGCAGGGAAGGTCATGTCTTACCAACTTGATAGAATTCTTTGAGGAAGTGACAAAGTTGATAGATGAGGGAAGGGTTATAGATGTCATATACATGGACTTCAGTAAGGCACTTGATAAGGTTCCCCATGGTAGGCTGATGGAGAAAGTGAAGTCGCATGGGGTCCAGGGTATACTAGCTAGATGGATAGAGAACTGGCTGGGCAACAGGAGACAGAGAGTTGTCGGGGAAGGGAGTTTCTCAAAATGGAGAACTGTGACCAGTGGTGTTCCACAGGGATCCGTGTTGGGACCACTGTTGTCTGTGATATACATAAATGATCTGGAGAGATGGTCTAATGAACAAGTTTGCAGATGACACTAAGATTGGTGGAGTAGCAGATAGTGAAGGGGACTGTCAGAGAATGCAGTAGAATATAGATAGATTGGAGAGTTGGGCGGAGAAATGGCAGATTGAGTTCAATCCAGGCAAATGCGAGGTGATGCATTTTGGAAGATCCAATTCAAGAGCGAACTATACGGTAAATGGAAAAGCCCTGGGGAAAATTGATGCACAGAGAGGTCCATTATACCCTGAAGGTGGCAACGCAGGTAGATAGAGTGGTCAAGAAGGCATACGTCATGCTTTCATTCATCGGACTGGGTATTGAGTACAAGAGTTGGCAGGTCATGTTACAGTTGTATAGGATTTTGGTTTGACCACATTTGGAATACTGCGTACAGTTCTGGTCGCCATATTACCAAAAGGATGTGGATGCTTTGGAGAGGATGCAGAGGAGGTTCACCAGCATGTTGCCTGGTATGGAGGGCGCTAGCTAGAGAGGTTGAGTAGGTTAGGATTATTTATATTAGAAAGACGGAGGTTGAGGGGGGACCTGATTGAGGTCTACAAAATCATGAGAGGTATAGACAGGGTGGGTAGCAAGAAGCTTTTTCCCAGAGTGGGGGACTCAATTACTAGGGGTCACAATTTCAAGGTGAAAGGGGAAAAGTTTAAGGGAGGTATGCGTGGAAAGTTCTTTACGCAGAGGGTGATGGGTGCCTGGAACGCGTTGCCACCGGAGGTGGTAGAGGCGGGCACGATAGCGTCATTTAAGATGTATCTAGACAGATACATGAATGGGCAGGGAGCAGAGGGATACAGATTCTTGGAAAATAGGTGACAGGTTTAGATAGAGGATCTGGATCGGCGCAGGCTTGGAGGGCCGAAGGGCCTGTTCTTGTGCTGTAATTTTCTTTGTTCTTTGTTCTTTGTTCATACCATCACACCCACAACTACCCCATCCCTGTAACCCTACATTTTCCACGGCTAATCCACCCTAATCTGCACATCCTTGGACACTGTGGGCAATTTAGCATGGGCAATCCACCTAACCTGCATATTATAGAATCTTAGAATCATAGAATCCCTACAGTCTGGAAACAGGCCCTTCAGCCCAACACGTCCACACTGACCCTTGGTCCCACCCAGACCAATCCCTCTATAAGCCACCTAAGCTACACATCCCTGAACACTACGGGCAATTTAGCATGGCCAATCCACCTAACCTGCACATCTTTTGAGTGTGGGAGGAAACCGAAGCACCCGGAGAAAACCCACGCAGACACGGGGAGAATGTGTAAACTCCACACATACAGTTGCCTGAGGCTGGAATCAAACCAAGGTCCTTGGTGCTGTGAATAGCAACTACTGAGCCACTGTGACATCAATTGTTGTAAAAACCCAATCTGGTCCACTAATGGCCTTTCAGAGAAGGAAATCTGCCATCTTAAACTGGTCTGGCCTACATGTGAATCCAGACCCAAAGCAACATGGTCGACTCTTATAACTGCCCTCTGAAATGGCTGAGCAAACCTCACTGTTCAAGGGGAGTTAGGGATGGGTGATGAAATGCTGGCCTTGCCAGTGATGCCCGTATTCTAAGGAAGAATAAAGAAAAACTATATAGAGCCTGTTAAAATGGCAGGCCTGTCCTGATATACAAAGATAGACCCTGTTGGTATGGAACATGGGTTCCTGCCTTTTGCTCAGTACAGCCAGTGAAACTTAAGAAGGTGACCTCCCTGGTGGTTTTCTAGTCCCTGGATAACCCAGGATGATTTCAACAGCTCAGTTTGCTTATTTCCATTGGCCAGACAGAGGTAAAATTGTGAGACCTCCAACTCTAGGCCAAACCTATCAGGGTTCAGGGGAGGCCGGACAAGCTAATGTTTACATGGGGTCAGAAGGGGTGGCAGGAGTGACATCTTCCTTCCCCCGCAAGCTTTACCCCTTCTGTCCTCCCACCTACTTCCAATGCCCTCACCCTGACTGCACTCTCATCCAGGGGTGCCACCCTGCACTGTTGACCTGATGCAAACATGCCGCTCCTCCGGTTGCAGATGGTCAATGCCCCCTCCCTGGGATCTTACCAATCTCACAGTTGCTGCCCTTGTAACCCTTTAGGCACTGGCAGTCATACCGGTTGATGTTATCACGACAGATGCCCCCATTCCTGCACGGGTTGGACTCACACTGATCGCCGTCTGCAAAAGTGGAAGAGAATGGCATCCATCTGAAACACCGCTGTGAAATTCACCACTCCCCATTTCCTGGAGATTCCCTCGGCTCTGGAGTGCCTAAGGTCATTCTCCGATCAAACAGCAAGGAGGAACTTCAAATATTCAACGCGACAAATAGTAAAGACTTCTTCTTCAGAACAATGAGCCATTTTTTTTGCAGTTAGTGGTCCCAAAATTGCACTGAGACTTCTACCTCTTCCCTAGTCCTTCTGAAGAAGTCATATCGGACTTGAAACATAAACTCTGTTTCTCTCTCCGCAGTTGCTACCAATCCTGCTGAGTTTCTCCAGTATTCTCCGTTCAGATCTCCAGCACCTGAGGCACTTTGCCTCTGTTTTTGGGGTGAGTAAAACTAGCTGCTGATTACATGGGTCATTGTTGTATGAGACTGTGCCCCTATCTAATCTCACATCCTGCTTGGAGGGGTCTATCTGAAAGTGGCAAATGTAGAGCTGCAGCATTTGCTGCTCAATGGGTTGAAAGTCATAGGCATTGCAGTGACACTTGGTTGAACAAACTGCTCCCCACGAGGTCCACTGGTGAAACAGGTAGTCTCAGAATTTCCTGCAATTTCTGTCCTAAATCTGACGGATACATACACCTCAAAACACTGCCTGTCACTCCGCACTTCAGGCACATTGGCTGGAGAGTTCCAGCCATTGACTGGACCTCAACCCTCAATGTCCCATTTAACTGCATCCTACACTATCTGACTTCCAACGTGTGTCTCAATGTACTTGCGGCTGTGGGGAGAGAGGGAATAAAGAGAAGGAGAAAGAGTGAGAGAATGAGAGAGAGAGTGGAAAGAAGGAGAAAGAGCAAGAGAGGTAGTGGAGAGAAGGAGAAAGAGTGAGAGAGGGATTGGAGAGAAGGAGAAAGAGAGGGAGAAAGGGAGTGGAGTGAAGGAGAAAGAGAGTGAGAGAGGGAGTGGAGAGAAGGAGAAAGATGAAAGAGGAAGTGGGGAGAGGAGAAAGAGACAGAGGAGGAATGGAGAGAAGGAGAAAGTGAGAGAGGGGGGAAGAGTGGAGGAGGAGAGAGGGAGAGGGAATCCACAATACAGAAGAGGAAGTGCTGGAGGTCATAGAAAACATAGAAGCGGATAAATCTCTGGGACCTGATGTAGTGTATCCCAGAATGCTGTGGGAAGTTCAGGAAGAAATTGCAGAAGCCCTAGCAGAAATATTTGTATCTTCTATAATCACAGGTGAGGTGCCGGAGGACTGCAGGGTGGCTAACGTTGTGCCTTTGTTTAAGAAATGCTAAGGAGAAGCCTGGGAACTGTTGCCCTGTGAGTCTGACTTTGGTGGTGGGAAAGATAAGATTTACATGCATGTGGAGAAACAAGGACTGATTAGGGATTGTCGGCATGGTTTTGTGTGAGGGAAATCGTGTCCCATAAACTCGATTGAGCTTTTTGAGGAAGTAACCAAAAGAAAAGATTGATGATAGCAGAGCAGTAGACGTTGTTTACATGGACTTCAGTAAGGCCTTTGACAAGGTTCCACATGGTAGACTGATTTGTAAAGTTAGATCAGATGGCATTCAGGGACAGCTTGTCAATTGGACACAAAATTGGCTTGCCAGTTGGAGACAGAGAGTGGTGGTGAAGCGTTGTTTTTCGGTCTGGAGGCCTGTGACCAGCAGTGTTTCATAGGGATCGGTGCTGGGTCCACTTTCGTTTGTCATATTTATATAAATGATTTAGATGAGAATATAGAAGGCATGGTTAGAAAGTTTGTGGATGACAGTAAAATCAGTGGCATAGTGGACAATGAAGAAGATTATCTAAGATGGCAAAGAGATCTTAATCAATTGGGTCAATGGGAGAAGGGGTGGCAGATGGAGTTTAATTAGGATAAATGCAAATTATTGCACTTTGGTGAAAAAGAACAAGGCTGGACATATACAATAAATGAAAGGCCATGGGTAGTGTTATAGAACAGGGGTTCAGGTACATAATTTTTTGAAATTTGTACCACATGTAGACAGGGTGGTTAAGAAGGTGTTTAGCATGCTTGCCTTCGTTGCTCAGACCTTTGAGTATAGCAGTTGGGACGCCATGTTGAGGTTGTACAGGACATTGGTGAGGCCTCTTCTGGAATACTGTGTGCAGTTCTGGTCACCCTGTTATAGGAAGGATATTACTGAGCTTGTGTGGCTTCAGAAAAGATTTGCCAGGAATGGAGGGTTTGAGTTATAAGCAGCAGCTGGATAGGCCGGGACATTTTTCACTGGAGCATAGGAGATTGAGGAGCGACCTTATATAAGTTTATAAAATCACGAGGGATATGAGGTCGTAAGGTAAATGACAAGGGTCTTTTCCCTAGGATGGGGGAGTTCAAAACTAGGGGGCATATTTTTAAGGCAACAAGAGAAAGGTTTAAAAAAGATATGAGGGGCAATTTTTTTTACAGGAAGAGTGGTTCATGTGTGGAATAAACTGCCAGAGGAGGTGGTAGATGTGGGCACAGTTACGATGTTTAAAAGACATTTGGATAAGTACATGAATTGGAAAGGTTTGGAGGGATATGGACTCACTGCAGGCAATGGGGAATAGCTTAGTTTGGGAACATGGTCAGCTTAGACTAGTTGGTCCAAAGGGTCTGTTTCTATGCTGTATGACTTTCTGACTCTGTAAATGGTGAGAAAGAATGAGAGGGAGTGGACAGAAAGAAGGAGTGGGGAGGGAGTGGAAAGAAGCAGACAGAGAGGATAAAGAGTGGAGAGAGGATGAGAGAGATCACAGAGAATAGGAGAGGCTTGACCGTAATATTTCCAAAGCTCTTTCTGTACATTAATCATCTTTGATGCTTCAGTCCCAGCTCCGATGCGTCTGCCTAAGACCCAATCCTACAGTCCCATCATTACAGTGGGAAAGTTTAGTTAGCACAACACTGTGATCCCTAAACTTCACCCATACTCCCCTACTCTGACAGGTAGCTCTCTCACTGTACAAGCTCACTTGGATTCTGTCACCTACCATTGCTATTGGGGCTAAACAATAACTCAGACAGAGGGACTCAAACTTAACAAAAATACAAGAAAATGAATACTCACCTACATACTTATTCCAATATTCGTCCTGAAACAAGAAGATGATAGCATGTCAGTATATGCAATGTTATAGAGTATTGAGTGAAGGCAGAGAGGGATATTGTAAACAGCATCAAACAGGGAACTCACTGTCATTATTGTGGTGAGACACAGCCCTGCCTCACCAGTGCTGTCCTTCCTCAGGACTGCACAGTTTAATCCAAGTGAGCTGGTTTACAATCCATTCCCCATGCTAGTTAAACATCACAAAAAAAGAAACAAGCAGTCGTCAGAGCTGAATGGAAAACAAACCAACTTTTAGAAAGGGAACAGCAACTTCTGCAGCATGAGACAAAGGTGCTGATTGGTGGGACTGTGGTTGCTGTGATTGTAGCAGGAACTGTTAACTGTTTAAATTCAAACCGACCAAGTCAGCTCTAGTGGGGTTACAGCAGAGATTGTTTGTCTCCATGACCCCTACCTCATCGCAAAGGTACAATGTGTGGAAACAGATCTTTTCTTTACAAAGAGCAGGGCCTGGTGTGTGAAGATGTGTAGCTTCCAGCATGTACAAATGGATCAACCCTGTGATCCTCATTGATAATCTTCAATTGGTTCTCAACATAACTCTTGAATTAAGTTAGGGTTTAGAATTATTTGGTAAATGCTGTCCACCACTAATGTTGGACACTATGATCTCACCATGGTTTTTTAGGGAAAAGGTAAAACTAAAAGTAGTCAGTGAGACTGATGACGTTGATAACATCGTAGAGATGTTGATTTCTGTTGGGCTAGATGTTGGAAGTGAAGAGTAAGAAAGCAGTTAGGAGATGAAGCTGGTGAATGTACATCAGGATGTTGATGCTGGACCTGATGGAGCATTCAATGTGTAAAACAGCCTGAGCTTCCTTCCAACAAACTCTCTGGGTTGTTAATCCCATAAGGAGGGTCTTGTAATGGCAGGTGTTGGAAAGTGATCTATAAGATCACTGGGGGTGACCTTATACACGTTTATAAAATCATGAGGGGCGTTATCAAAGTGAATGGCAAGTATCTTTTCCCTAGGAAGAGGGTATTTCAAAATTAGGGGGCATATTTTTAAAGTGAGAGGAGAACGATTTAATAAAGACACAAGGAGCAACTTTTTTTACACTGATTTGTGTGTGGAATGAACTTCCAGACGAAGCGGTGGAAGTGGGATACAGTTACAACGTTTAAAAGACATTTGGATAAGTACATGAATAGGAAAGGTTTGGAGGGATATGGGCCAAGTGCAGGTAGGCGGGACTAGTTTAGTTTGGGATTATGGTCGGCATGGACTGGTTGGACCGAAGGGTCTGTTTCCGTGCTGTATGACTCTATGACTGGTGGACTGTGAGGTTCATGGTGAATGGAGAAAGACTTGTCAGAAGTGGGAGTGAGATTGGAGTGAGCAGTGAGATGAGTGGTTAAGTGGGAGAGAAATTGCTGTGGAATGGGGGGACGATTGGTGCGAAACAGGTGTGAGATTGTTAGGAGCTGGGAGATGAAATCTCCATCATCAGCTCTCTGCTTGAAGGCAGGGTCACCCTGGACAGAGAGGCAGTCATCACCACGGGTAGGGCAAAGAAGCAGGATCTGAATCCACCCCAACCAAGGGAATTGTACCCTGACCCTTCAATACCAATCTGATCCACATGGACTGCCCTGCCAAGGAATACAAGTCGCTATGGCAACATACACTTTTACCTGCGTGTGGCAGCCGGGAGCTATGGAGACTGATGACGAAGACTCCGATTTCTCTCAATTACCCAGCTGGCCACGAATCTCTCCTGCCTTTGCTGCCGTGTGTAGGGGGGGATTTACACATTGATTCTCAACCAGTTTGGCCACATTACACTTCCTTTGGCCATCACGGATAGAAATCAAAGCCAAAGCTTCAGGCTCAGAGGCAGGGTCGTCACCTCCTGTACCACAAGACCTCCCCATGGGAGATATATTAAGGACAGGCGCTCCTGTCTGAAGGATTCATGTTTGGTGAAGTAACAGTCTGTGCCCTTGCCTGGCATAACAAGTTAGTACAGGACACCATGGACAATGATCTGCTCTCACCATACACCCCTTGTCAAAGTCTACAGTTCCCATACTTCCCAGCAGCTTGTACGCCCAATATAATACCCTCTTTGCTAAAAGCCAGAGGCGCACCAGGATAACATTAAGTCTATTTCCAGGCAGGATTGCAATCGACTTGGTCATGTACCAGGCACACTGATGCAGAACCTCTGATCGGAACCTCTCTGATGTTGTGCCGCCTTGAGTAGTCCTGGAACTGGCAGGGGTTGAGGGAGTGGCAGCAGATCAGAGGGGTTCAAGAATATGATCGGGTTGGTGGGGGGAGGTGGTTGGATGGTGGGGATAGCATACAATCATACAGTACAGAACAGGCCCTTTGACTCTGTACTAACTAAGCTACACTAGTCCTCATTCTCTGAACTATAGCCAGAATCTTGAATGTTCTGACATTTCAAGTGCTCTCCCAAGTACTTTTTAATGGTCGTGAGGTTTCCCACCTGAAGGCAGTGCTTCCCAGCATCCTACCACCCCACGGGTGAAAAACAAATTCCCTCTAAACCTCTGCCTTTCACCTTAAAATTATACCTCCCTTGTTGCTGATCCTTCGACTAATGAGGACAACTGCTCTCTATCCACCCTGTCCACACCCTTTATAATCTTATCCATCTCTATCATGGGAACCCCCTCAGCCTTCTCTGCCCCAGAGAAAACAACCTGAGCATATCTAGTCTCTCTCCATCTCTGGAATGCTCCATCCCAGGCAACATCCTGGGAGATTTCCTCTGCACCCCCTCCAGTGCATTCCAGTGACCAGTGGGCTACCATAGGGATCAGTGCCTGCACTGCGGCTATTCACAATATATGTTAATATTTCAGATGAGGGAACTAAATGTAATACCTCCGATTTTGCAGATGGCGCAAAGCTTGGTAGGAGGGTGAACTGTGAGGTGGGTGCAGAAACGCTTCAGTTTGATTTGGACAAGTTGAGTGAGTGGGCAAATGAATGGTAGATGCACTGTAATGCAAGTAAAAGTGAGGTTATTCGCTTGGTAGCAAAAACAGGAAGGTGGATTATTATCCAAATGGGGATAGATTGGGAAAGGGGGAGGTGCAATGGCACCTGGGTGTCCTTGTACTCCAGTCACTGAAAGTAAGTGTACAGGTACAAGAAAGTAAGGTGTAGCAGGCAGCGAAGAAGGTAAATGGTATGTTGGCCATCATAGTAAGAGGATCCGAGTGCAGGAATAGGGATGTCTTGCTGCAATTGTACAGGGCCCAGGTGAACCCACACCTGGAGTACTGTGTGCTCCATACCTGAGTTGGGTCTCCGTACCTGAGGAAGGATGTTCTGGCGATGGAGGGAGTGCAGCAAACATTTACCACACTGATCCCTGGGACGGAAGAGAGACTGGATCAGTTCTAGATAGGACTATATTCAATAGATTATAGAAGAATCAGAGAGGACCTCGTAGAAATCTATAAAATCCTAACAGGTCTATGCAGGGTAAACATGGGAAGGATGTTCCCAATGACTAGGGAGTCTAGAAACAGGGATCACAATTTAAGGATACAGGAGAGACCATTGAGGACTGACATGAGGAGAAATTTCTTCACTCAGGAAATTGTGAGCCTGGGAATTCGCTGCCATTGAAAGCAGTTGAAGCCAAACTGTTGAATATTTTCAAGAAGGAGTTAGAATTACAGTTCTTTGGGGCTAAAGGGATCAAGAGGTATGGAGAGAAACAGGGAACAGGATACCATGTTGTTAGATCAGCTGTGATTATATTAAATGACAGAGCAGGTTTGAAGGGCTGAATGGCCTACTCCTGCTCCTTTATTTTATGTTTCCACGGTTGTCTCCACTTCCACCGTCTTTGACGGCAGTGATTTCTCAATCATTTCCACTTGCTGTGTTTAAAAGCTTCTTCCTCACGTCTCCCTGCATCTCTTACTCAAACAATCTGTTAAAAATGTATTGTTTGTGGGATATAAGTGTCACTGCTAAGGACAGTATTTGTTCACCCATCCCAAATTGTCTGGTGGGGGGCACAGTTGAGAGTGTGCATCGCGATGCGTCTGGAGTCATGCATAGGTCACATTGGTCATATTGTAATATTTAAATTTTAACTTTGTTCCTCATTTCTTTCTACCTTGTCCTTAAATTTTTGTGTGGTGACATTGAAATTTTTTACTGTACTCCTGCACTTTTATACTTGAGTACATGTGGTAATAAAGTCTAAATCTTAAAAAAAAACTAATAAAAAAGGCAGATTTCCTTCCCTAAAGGACATTAGTGAACCAGATACACTTTTTTAAATATAAATAATGACATGCTTGCTATGAGGCCAGCTTGTAATTCCTGATTTTGAGTGAATTCAAATTTCACCATCTGCCATGGTGGGATTTGAATCCATGTCCCCAGAGCACTAACCTGAGGATCTGAATCACTAGTCTAGTAATGATACCACTGCACCACCACATCTCCTTACCCTAGAAAGGTGGTGAATGGCTTTTTTCCGAATGCCAGTGTTGTTTTTAATGTAACTGCACAGATTACTTGGACACCCATACTCAGGACAAGTCAACTCAGGATTCACTGCACTGACATGCGGCTACAGGAGTCACAAGTAGATCAGGCTAGTGAGGGATGTCAGGTCTCCATCCCCTAAAGCCTCCGGCCCATCAGGTTTCCGTGGAAATCTGACAGGGTTTTCTCGTCGCTCCCACTGGAACCAGATTTCTTATGTCCCCATGGAATTCCACTTGGCAAACCTGCCTGGAATTTCAGGTCACCACTTTGCTGATCCTCTATCACAGAGACACCCTAGCCTACCAGCCGGAAAAAGCAGAGCACGCACGAGAACTGAGAGCTATGTGTGAAATGCCTCGGTGTGCTCACAATATGAGTGAGATCGATACAGAAGTGTCTCTATTTGGAGCCTCTTAAGGTGATAATGAAGTACCAACAATGATGTTCCTGGCATATCCCAAAGTAAATAAAAGTGACTGAAAGTTTAAATGACTGGATTGGTTAACTCATCTCATATCAGGGAAAGAGAGAGAAACGTAGGAATTGGGAAAAAGTGTAAATCATTTGGCCCTTCGAGCCATCTTTCAATATAATCATGGCTGAACCTCAATCGCGAAGCCGTAGCCTCTCTCTCTTCCTATACCCTTGACACCTTTAGTTTCTAGAAATCTATCGCTTTCCTAAACACGTTCAGTGATTGGTTCTCCCTCTCCCATGGTAGAGAATTCTATAGTATTGGATTGATTGAAGAGATATCTCCTCATCCCTGGGATATTGCACTGTTCAGACAAGGAATAGCTAAGAGGAGCAATTGAAGATAGAGATCAGAAGTACTGCTGCTTACGGTTCGCTGGTCATTTTCAAAGATTTCTCTCACTTCTTCTTTCGAGCACCTTTCTTCAATGCATTCCCTCTCCACGTCACCTTCTTTAAGTTCCTCCAGAAAGCTGTTTGCCCGCTTTTGTCGTGCTAGCATGTTGTTGGCCATTTCATGGGTCAGAAACACTTGGACAGAGGAAAACGATGAACAAATCGGTCAGTAGCTGTCATTCCCATTCAGTTTGTCAGGAGCTTACAGGGTGGGCTTGTGGTGAGGGGGAGGACAATGAGAAAGACACAATTGGCCCTACAGAAGCAGGGCCTATCCCTGACACCGATTGTACCATGGCCTATCCCTGGTTACGTATAGAACCAGGGCCTACCCTGGTCACGTATAGAAACCAGGACCTATCCTGGTCACGTATAGAAGCAGGGCCTATCCTGGTCACGTATAGAACCAGAGCCTATCCTGGTCACGTATAGAACCAGAGCCTATCCTGGACACCTACAGAAGCAGGACCTATCCTGGATACCTATAGAAGCTGGGCCTCCTGGGCACCTATAGAAGCAGGGCCGATCCTGTGCACCTATCGAAACAGGGCCGATCCTGTGCACCTATCGAAACAGGGCCTATCCTGGACACCTATAGAAGCAGGGCCTATCCTGGGCACCTATAGGAGCAGGGCCTATCCTGGATACCTAAAGAAGCTAGGCCTCCTGGACACCTATAGAACCAGGGCCTATCCCGGACACGCATCAAACCAGGGCCTATCTTGGACACCTATAGAACCAGAGCCTATCTTGGACACCTATAGAAACAGGGCCTATCCGGGACACCCATCAAACCAGGGCCTATCTTGGACAC